TGTGGGTATATTCTTTATTCATTCAATTTTCATTCCAATAAATTTTGAGGATGAAATTTTTGTTGAGGGGAGAATCGTAACACCCTAAATAATTCCCAATTCAAAACCCTAGAATTTGGGGAAAACTTTTCAAAATTTCTAATTTCTATTTGGTGGCTAAATTGTAAAATTGGAAAGTTTGGATCAAAATTCGTAAACCGTAGAGAATTCAAGGACTGGAATTGCAGTTTACCCACTTTTTATTTGATTTCAATTTCAATTCTTCTTCTCTGCGCGGTCGCTTTATCTCTTCTTTCCTTCTATTTATTTTTTATTTTTTTTTTCTTTGCTTTTCTCATCAGACGAATCAATTCCTCCACGCCGTATCATCGTGAAGTCGAAGATGGTTCACTAGTGAGTTCTTCTCCATCGTGCGTTCCATCTAGGCGAGCTCAAAAGAACATCATTGGTTCTTATTTGTGGAAACAGAACAAACATAGGCTCCTTTCCGTCGTATAATGGCCATTCGCGGCCATCCACGACTGCTATTGTGTCCGGTTAATCTCACGTTCATCGGAGAAGGCCTTTATGGTCGGGTTTCATGACTACTGCTATCTCACCGCCCTTCTTCTTTTGTCTACCACACTGTGGTGGTCGATATCGTCGTTGGCATATTGTGGTAGAACCAACGATACCTTTTGTTCGAACCAGCAGCCCCAAATCTCGATAAAAATCTTGTTTTTCAATTTTTAGTTCGAATCGAAATTTTTGTTATTTACGTCGTAATAACATTCCATATGTATTTTAAGAATTGGTGAATTGGAATTTAATACGAACGTAATAATATTACAGGAAATGTTGAACCAAAATCGGACTTACGGTCTCCTCCACTCTTATCAACTCAAATTGCTAGAACCGAGTGTAAGTATTAAATTATATTTAGATTTAGATTTGTTGATAGATTAGGTTAATAATAATTATTATTATTATGTAGAAATTGATTCGGTTAGACCCAGTGTTCAAGCCGCATATGAGGGACGTTACGTTTGCCGTTAGAGTTATTTTGCTGAGGTGTGTCTCTTCCTGGTGCTATATCTATTTCGTGTTGGTTGATTGATTGATTTATTGAAATTAGTTGTGAGCATGACTGTTATATGTACTATTTCTTTAAATATAATTCAGTTAAGCATGTTGTTTGGAAGTTGGTTTTGAGCATGAAGGTTCTATGATATTGTTGCATCAATTGGAATTCATAAAATTATGTTATGTGACCGGGGGCGGACTCAGGATAAAAATTCAGGGGTTGCACAAAAAAATTCTTATAAATTTTTTAGGGGTTGCACAATATTAAAGGTGACACTTGTATTAATTAAAAAAATTAGAAAAAAATAACACTAAGTAGACAATTTTGTTGTATAAATTTTTTTTTCTATAAGAATTTAACTGAAATATGGGATTCTACCTAAAAATCACAAAATATATATATAAAAATACTAAAATAATATCATTTGATCAATGTTCCTCATAATTTGAGGGGTTGCCCGGGCTACCCCTGGCAACCCCCTGGGTCCGCCCCTGTATGTGACATGTGATAGTTATTGGGTTTAGATTATGCTATGTGTTCGGACTATGGGATCATGTAATTGTATTCTCATTCCGATTAGATAAAAACGTGGATATATGATATTCGAGTATGTGTAATTCGGATATGTGTTATTCGGATCGGATTAGATATTGAATATGTGTGACATTTAAATATCATATTGGGACGGATTAGATATTGAATAGGTGGCTTTTGCCTTTGTGGTGGACCCCACTCATATTGTGTGTTTTGATTGTAAATAGTGTGGTTCCGGGGAATCTACTCTTCGAATCGTGTGACATAAATACGGGTGGGTGCATGAGCATTTGCATAACATTCAAATATTTGATTGTTACTGTTTGATTTGAAATATGATTAATTTTGTTTGATTTAGACTGTGCTATGATTTTAACTTTGCTTGCACCTTAGAGACACCTTAAGCTTATTATCTTATATTCCCTTAGTTTCTCTCTTTTAGATACTCGGGTTAGAAGAATCGATACTTGAAGTTACAATATTTCTCATATTTCACTATTTCATAGTATGACATATTATTCTAATTTTTCTATTTCTTATTTTATTAGCATTTTATTCAAATAATATTTGTTATGTTTAAATATTTTTGGGACATTGGTTGTGAACTTTTTTTTTTTGGACTTTGGGACTTGAATTCTGAATTTTATAAACGTTTGATTTATGTTTTTATTATTGTTGTTTTATTTCAATTACTAAGTATTTGAAATCTGTAAGCACGAGGGTTAATTTTAATGTATTAAAAATAGTGTTTGGGGTAATTTTTGGCGGAATTTAATTAATGAGCCTTTCAGATCTAGCGTGTTTTATCTAGGTCGGGTAAAGTGGGTTAAATTTAGTGGTATCAAAGTCATGTTCAACCCTCGGACTATGGAGCTTGACTACAAAATTTTTAACCAAAATTGATTTTTTCATGTATGTAAATATTTTCAGGTAAAAATAGAATTTTTTAGAATAATTTTTTTCTCTTATTTTTATTTTGAAAAGGAGTAAATAAATATTTTAAGTAGAAACTCCCAGTAACAAATTTGATTTTAGGTTGTCTTTTATAGATATTTTAGTATGCCACTTTATAGGAGTTTTCGATTAATGATCGATCAATGTCAAGATTAGTTTAAACATCGACTGGAGGTAGTGAGCAATATATGCCTATTAATTCCGGTTTAGTTGGTAGAGGTAGTTCAAATCAGAATAAAGGTTTAACTGGATCGGTAGTGAAATAGTTAGAGTTATTATATTCTACTCGGAGATATGAGGATTGGATTGAGTCAGGAGAAATTGCGGGCACTTTCTTTATTCATTCAATTTTCATTCCTGTAAATTTCAAGGAAGAAATTTTCATTAAGGATGAGAGAATTGTAACACCCCAAATAATTTCCGATTCAAAACCCTAGAATTTGGGAAAAACTTTTCAAAATCCCTAATTTCTATTTGGTGGCCAAATTGTAAAATTGGAAGGTTTGGATCCAACTTCATAAACCTTATAGATTTTAAGGACTGGGTTTGCAGTTTATTCAAAATGTTATTTGATTTAAAATTTAATTTTTCTTCTCCTTGCGACCGCTTTATCTTTTCTTTCCTCTAGTTTTTTTTTCCTATTTTTCTTTGCTTTTCTCATCAGACGAGTCAATTCCTCCACGCCGTGTCGTTGTTCCGTCGAAGATGGTTCACCGATGGGTTCTTCTCCATCACGCGTTCCATCTAGGTGAGTTCGAAAGAACATCGCCTATTCTTCTTTGTGGAAACAGAACCAACATCGGCTCTTTTCCGTCGTATAATCGCCTTCACGGCTATCCACGACCGTGATGGTGTCCTTTCATAAACCAAATTGTGGTCGTCGTGAGCGTCGTTGGGATATTGTGGTAGAACCGAAAGTACCTTTTGTTCGAACCAGCATCCCCTAAATCCTAATCTCGATAAAATCTTGCGGTTCGATTTTTGGTTTGAATCAGATTTTTGGTATTTACGTCGAAGTAACGTTCCATATTTTTTTTTAAGAATTGGTGAATTAAAATTTAATACGAATGTCGTAATTTTGCTGGAGATGTTGAACTGCAATCGGACTTACCGTCTCCTCCTCCCTTACCGACTCAAATTGCGAGAACCGAGTGTGAGTATTAGATTATATCTAGATTTGTTGACGGATTAGGTTAATAATAGTTATTATTATGTAGGAAATTGATTCGGTTAGACCCACAGTTCGAGCCGATCGTGGGAGACTTTACGTTGGCCGTTAGAATTATTTTGTCGAGGTGTGTCCCTACCTGGTGTTATATATATTTTGTGTTGATTGATTGTTTGAAATTGGGTGTAAGCATGACTTATGTGTATTGCTGCTTTAAATATAATTCAGTTAAGCATGTTGTTTGGAAGTTGATTTCGAGCATGATGTTTTTGTGATATTGATGTATTGTATTGCTGCTTTAAAATTATGTTATGTGACGTGATATTTATCTCGAATTTGGATTATGTTATGTGTTCGAACTCTGGGATCATGTAATTGCATTCTCATTCGGATTATATCGAAATTCGAATATATGATATTCGAATATGCATTATTAGGATCGGATCATATATCGGATATGTGTGCCATTTGCATATTATATTGGGACGAATTTTGATAAGGGAAGTTCAGTGTATTCACTCGATGGGATGAATGTCACTTTTTCAGATTCTATGGCCTCTGCCTTTGTAGCGAACCCCCCTCATATAGTGTGTTTTGATTGTACATAGTGTAGTTCTGGAGAACCCACTATTCGGATTGTGTGACAGGAGTACGAGTGGGTGCATGAACATTTGCATAACATTCAAATATTTGATTATTATTATTTGATTCCGAATATGATTAATATTGTTTAATTCGGATTGTACTATGATTTTGACTTTGCTTGCACCTTAGAGACCTACTAAAGCTTACATCACCTTAGTTTCTCTTTTTTAGATACTCGAGTTAGGAGAATTAGTACTTGAAGTTACGATATTTCTCATATTTCACTATTTTCCTAGTTTGGCATATTATTCGAATTTTCTACTTCTTATTTTATTAGCATTTTATTCAGATAATATTTGTTATGTTTAAATATTTTTGAGACATAGGTGATTAACTTTGTTTTGAATTTCAAAACTTGACCTCTGAATTTTATAAACGTTTAATTTATGTTTTCATTATTGTTGATTTATTTCGATTACTCTAAGTATTTGAAATCTATAAATGCGATGGTTAATTTTAATATATTAAAAATAGTGTTTGGGTAAGTTTTTGAGAAATTTAGTTAATGGACCTTCTAGATCCGACTTGTTTTATGTTTTATCTAGGTTGGGTAAAGGGGTTACAACAGATGCCTTAACACATTCAAAGATAATAATTACAACATAATAGCGGTATGATGATATGTGAAGCGGTTCATAATGATAAATTCAACATATATTATATTTCTCCACTGTACAAAAACTTGATTCACTTATTACTCCACAATGTAAGAGAAACTTGTAAATGCAGTCCGCAGACTCGGCATCACAAAACAAAAAAACCAAAACACAGTTTCGACATGCCCTCCTATACAAAATATACCCATTTTAACAGCTGGGAAGAAGCAGTGGTTTTCTAGCAGGCAAAACCAGGTATTCTCAACACTCACTTATCTGCATTGATTCCAAAGATCCGGACCTTGTGCATGTTGGGGAACTTAGCAATGACGAGCACAACAACTGCAAGTGTGTTCAAAAAGAGCATAGGATGTTCGTAGTCGGTTGTATGCGATGCTATCAAGTACCTATCAGGAAACCAAAAAAACCCACGGTCAATAAAAGCAGGCCTAAGACATTCCTAATGGACCGAGTTCTCAGTTTATCTTGAATATTCAAATAATTCTAATGAAAGTTCCCATAAATCATTTCAAGGCAGGACTTCCTTGATGAATGTCTTATACAAATATAAAGTATCACAATTCAAAAATAATCCCACTCTAAATGATTTGTCAAAAAATATCAGTGATCCAAATCTGCAGAGCTAATTTATTAAAAACGATGAATTCACATAAACATGGTGATGATCAGTGTAAAAGAGACTATCTTTTTAACAAATGCAATTGAAAACCAATTTGCAAATGAGAACATAGATATCTGGACACACAAACATACTTGATAGACGTTAAAAGAAAAGCAACATGAACGGGAGGAGACTTTATGCAAATGTCATAACAAAATGGTCATGCTACGTAAACCCAGTTGCATTACAATGATACAAGCAATGTCATCTATAATTGGGGAACAAAAGAAAAGGTTGAATAATCAACATTCAATGCTTGGAATCGAATACTTGAAAAGACACAAATGACAGAGATACAGCACAAAATAATAGGATAAAAATCATCAGCAAGTTTATGAAATTTTTTAAAATTTCATATAAGGAGACTTACAGCACAACAGGTACAACAGTAAGAAACTTCCTATTGCGTGTGAGTTGCTTTCCATTGTCTATCTGCTCCCACCAAGTCAAGCCATTGTAAATCCCTTGATCATCAGCAAATGGGGTTCCTTTCTCCCAGTGAAAGAAGTGATATGTCACCTGAAAACATACCGAATCAATGTTAGTCATGAAGGCATGATTTTCAAACAACTTCAAAACGCAGAATAGAAAATAAAGCAACAGTTAAGCACTCAACAAGAACTAGGTTTGGATTTCCAAAATCTTAATTTTGCAATAGAGACATGTCGGAATGCTATGCTAGGAAACACAAATTTTGAATATATGACACCATATATCTTATACTCGAAACTTAATGATATAGGTCAATAGCTAAAATCCCTGATTTCCCTGTTTCCCGTCTTTAAATCAGAGGCCACAAGAACTAACTTCAAAATGTACGCATGCAAAACTATGGCATGTTCTATCTGATGCTCATCAAATATCCCCACAGACTACACCATCACTTATTCAGTTCCATAAGAAAGGTCAACGACAAGAACTAGGTTTGCATTTCCAAAATCTTAATTTTGCAATAGTCATGCTGAAACGATGCGATAGGAAACAAAATTTTAAATATATGACACCATATATCTTATACTCAAAACTTAATGATATTGTTCAATACCTAAAACCCCTGATTTCTCCTTTTCCCGTCTATAGATCAGAGGCCATAACAACTAATTTTAATGCAAAATTATGGCATGGTCTATTTAATGCTCATCAAATATCCTATAATTTCAGTTCCCATAAGAGAGTAGGTCAACGACACAAGGCGAAATTCAAATCTTAAACAATATCTCTATGAAAACTGAGATATATAGACTAATAACGATGCATCAATTCGAACTTACAGTGTACAGCTTAAAAGAAGAACAAGTACGAAAAGAAATCAATAACCCACAAAAGAACCAAAAGGGAAAATCGCAATAACATATCGGAAACACTCATCACAACTCTCCAAATCAAGCCATTCAAACCCAATTTCAACATAAGAATAAAATCCAAAACAAAAAAGGGTAAATTTCCAGGCATAAAAAGAAACCAAATTGAATTTCAGTACAATAACACAACTAAAATTGCAGAAAAGAAAAAAGAAAACGCACGAGGAAGTGAGCGAGATTGACAACGGTCCAAGCCATGCCAGGAGAGCAACCGAAGATGGAGAGAACGAGGAGCCAAGCGAAGAAGAGGATTAGAATATAGGTAGTCCATACCCCTGGGTACATGAACCACTCGGTGTTCCGGTTCAGATCCGCCGGTGGCACCGCTTTCACATACAGATTCGCCATTTTTTTTTCAATAACCACCAAATCACAAATCTACCCTTTTCTCTGGCCACCTTGATTCGACCTGTATAAATAATTCAAAGACTTGGCTTCTTTGGGTATATATTGGATTTCGGAATCCAAAAAGCAAAATCCCAGAACTTTCCTCCAAGTGTTTCCTTTATCTGTGAAAAAAGATGGGATATTTATTTGTTTGAATGGAAAATTGGAAAGCTCTATATAAAAAAAAATAGATTGCTTATCTAAACCGGTCATTATTACAACAACAACCAGCCATCTAATCCAAAACAATAAACTTTATCTCGCGAACCTTTCTGCTTTTCCAAAACCCAAATACGACACCGTTTACCTACTGTCCATCACTAATACTATCAACTTTAGCTCCAGTGCCGCACTTTTGATGTATTTTTTTCCTAAATCGCACTTCTGTATTTTCTCTAAGAATTTAGAGTAATTATAAATTAATATTTATTTTTTAAATAATTTTTTAAAATTAAATTATAATTTTTATTGTTAAAATTTATGAAAAATAATATAATTAGTATTTTATTTTAAATATTTTATTTTTAAATTTTTAATTAATTTATAATTATACGATAAGCCTTTTAAAATTTAAATTTTTATAAATTAAATTAATAATATTTAACAGTACTTATCATTAATGATGATTAGCGATATTCGTTGAGCATGACAAACTTATTCATTTCTTTTACATTTGTGTTGTTATTTTCTATCTTGCTCTTCTTAACTTTTAGGATAAACTACATTTATTTTTATCACTATCATTAACGATAATTAAAGTAAATGTTAACGACAACAATGTGCTTATTCATGAGGTTAAGATGGAAGTGTCATGCACTTCCTGTCATAAAATCATGAGATTTTGGATGCATATTTGTGCACAAAATGTAGGATCTATCTAGGTACATTTGAGCTCAATAGTGGACAAATCAAGAAATAATTAATAATACAAGAAAATTTTGTTAATATAAAAACATACGATATGATTACTGTTAATATGATCACCAATAATGTGAAGGGTAAATTACTTGAATGACCATTTAACTATGAAGTTAGTATCAAAATGACTATTAGTTTTAAATTTCTGTCAATATATCACTAAATTATTTAAGTAGTATCATTTAAGTCACCTGCCATTAGGGATGGGCATCTAACCCGAACCCAACAGGTTCCGACCCGACCTGACCCGATCGGGTCGGATTTTTCTAAAAAAAATTCGGGTTCGGGTCGGGTTTTTTTTATGTGGTGTTCGGGTCGGGTCGGGTTTGGGTTTAGGGTGAAAAAAATCCGACCCGACCCGACCCGGGAAAAACATATAATTTTACCCTATATATTTAGGAATAATTACAATAATACCCCTCTATATATTATTTTTTTCAATTTAATCACTGTTTTTATTGAATAAAAATAATTTTTTTTATTATTTTCTGGTCGAGTCGGGTCGGATTTTTTAAACTATCTATCGGGTCGGGTCGGGTGAAAAACTAATTTTGTCGGGTCGGGTCACGGGTGGAGGTCCCCTTCTTCTCGGGTCGGGTGGACCAAAAACCCGACTCAACCCGACCCATGCCCATCCCTACCTGCCGTTAATATACAACGAAGGAGTGATGAGACAGTTAATAGAAATTTATATAATTACACATTTGATCCTCGGTACTTGTATATTATATTAATTTAGTCATAATTTAAATTTAATTTTATAAATTAATAATTGGTTCCAGATTATTTTAGCATGATAAAGCCACGTTTGATCGACCATAACCTTCAAAACTGCATGTAATCCCTATAAAATTTCCATGTCTCTTTGTTACCATTTCTTAAGCTTTTTCAACCAATTTTAGAGTTTTGTACTTTCTATAGAAGAAGATTGATGATTTGTAGTTTGTGGAGATAAAAATTAGCATGAACTTCTTATTGATTTGCGTTAAATTTACAACACAACCGCAAGGAAAACATGAAAAAAATCATTTACAATCTCTAATCTCACTTTTCGGGGACAAAGTTGGTGGCATAAGACTAGGCTTTGTTGTTGACAAGGTCGGCAAGGTGGTCAGCCAAGTTCCCCAATGGCTTGTTTCTAGTGGCGATAGCTTGGATGAAGAATCCGAACATGGAGAACATTACCAATATGTCATTCTTGATCTTCTTGACCTTGAGCTCAGTGAATGCCTTCGGGTCATCGGCAAGACCCAACAGGTCAAAGCTTCCACTCGGGTACAATGGGTCGATCAACACACCGAGTGGACTATCGGTAATGCGGTAACCCTCTACAGCTCCCATCAAGATAACTTGGGAAGCCTATATGGCCAAGATGCTCTAAGCATGGATCAAGCTTGGGTTGCCCAAGTAGTCAAGTCCACCATCGCTGAAGATCTGAGAGCCGGCCTTGAACCAGATGGCCTCACCGAACTTGAATTTGTTCCTGGCCAAAAGCTCAGGGAAAATACATCCCAGAGCTCCTAACATGCCCATCTGCAGTGAATGACTTTGAGTTCATGGTTCCTAGCAATGGTCTTCGGGTCAGCGTAAAGTTCGATAGTGCCTCAATCGTAGTCATCAGGGAACTCTCCGGTCAAGTAGGATGGGGGATACCGGAGAGTGGACCCAAGTACAAAACTTTATTGAGTCCGTACAACGGGCTACCGGAGGTAGCAGGCTTTGTGGCGATTTTCCTCATGGAAACACGACCATTGCCCTGGATTTTAGGGGGTGGAATGAGAGCTTGATTACCTTTTCGACGGATGATGAGGAAGAAAATGCCATGGTTGACGCTGCCATTGTACAATTGAAAGTGATAAGTAGTGGAGGATGAAGAGAAACTGATAGTTGTTGAAGTTGGGTGGCGTATTAATATTGTTTTTTTTTAAGGAAAGAGGTCATTATCTTATGACATCTACATCTCAATTCCCATTGGTTTGTGACATTTTTTAAGTCTGATTTTTTTTTGAAAGGATAATAATTCATTAATCAATTGCGTAAAAGATTACATAATTCTTAATACATCACATTCATCCATGTAAAACCCTATCAGATTAGTGTTCGATAAGGCCCATTGAGCGTGGGAGTGGAGTACTCTATTGGCTTCTCTTTGACATGGTGCACCTTGAAATTCTCATGTGCACTTAGAATTGAGGTAGCCTCGTTGAGCATCAATCCGACCATGGAAAGATCATTAACCCTATTAGATAACCTATTAAGAATCCCAATGGCATCTCCATCCATTCTCACGTTGTCCCAATTGTTCTCTATGGCCATTCTGAGCCCAAAAGTGAAAGCCATAGCTTCAGCAGATTCTGAGTTTTGGGGTGGGTCCAATTTAGACGTTACTCCCCTCAAAACCATCCATCGGTCTTCTTGCCACCACTCCGAATGAAGCCTTATTGGAGAATGGGTTAAAAGCGCCATCCACATTAATCTTTACCGAGTTGGGAGGAGGATAAGCCCATTCAACCAACGATAATGATGATCTTTCTTCATGGACCAAGCGGGCCTGTTGAGAAAGAGCCTCTGTGGCATCTGAGAAAAGAGTCCATGTAGCCTCAACTACGGCTCTTTTCGGTTGGAGATCATTGTCATGAAGCCATTTATTTCTTCTGTTCCAGATATTCCAGAGAATGACAATCAACTTTGCGAACCCCTTGTAGACACTTTTTTTGTCCGGGTTTTAATTGTTTATTATTATTATTAATTAGTATTAATTATTATTAGTAATTATTATCAATACTATTATTATTATTATAAATAAAATACTAACATTTATTTGTTTATAGACAGATCCAAAATAAAAAATTGGCCTAATTACAAAGGAACTAGACCATTGAAGCCCAACAGCCCGTTCAACCCGAAGCCCAAACTCAAGCCCACACATGAGATCGTAAAAAAAATAGGGTTTCTAGACCTTTTCTTGTGCACCTCCAGTCCACAACTGTTGGATCGGATTGTTGATCCAACATGCTAGATCGTTAGGGTTTTTACCCTAATATGTAAAGAAGCCTACCACTGTTGACCAAAGATAGGCCACCCAACCGACGCGCGTGGTACTCACGCCTGACCTTTCTACTCCCTAGTCGCGTGAGTCGCCGTTGATGCCTCCCAAGTCACCATCATCAGTAAATCTGGTCAAACAACAGGAAAAACACATCAAATTAGTCAAAAGCCAAGGAAATAAAAAACCCATTAACACTACTAGAAAAAAACCCCTTTAATGACGCGAATTGCGCGTCATCTATGGGTGTATATGACACATAAATTCGCGTCATTGAAGCCACCGACATAAATATCAGATGACGTGCAATTGTGTGTCATAAATCTATGACGCGCATTTATGACACGCATTTATGACTCGCATTTATGACGCGCATTGAGCGTCATTGAAGCCCCCGTCATAAATGAAGATGACACACATTTGTGTTTCATAAATTTATGACACGCATGTATGACTTACATTGCGTGTCATTGAAGCACACATCATTAAAAAAGATGACACACATTCGTGTGTCGTGATTGTATTTCGTAAATTATATATATATATATATATATATATTGTATATTGACAAATAATCAAACTAAATCATATTTAATGCCTCATAATACTAAATATATATATATATCATATTATATATAAGCAATCTATTTTAATATAATATATTCACATTCGAGGTCTAAAGTTTCAAGTAGAGCTCTCGAGCTTTTACAGTTCAAATTGGCTTAATTGTCCCCCTATGTGGGGTTGTTGTAATAGGTAAGCATGACCCAGATACAGAAGATGACAAGAAATGTATGAAAAGATAAAATCTAAACAATACAACAAGATGTTTGGATTTTGCAATGATATCTTACTTTAGTTGTGATCTCTAGATGACGTCAAAGCTCTTCATCACGTTCTTTCAAAAATTGTGACAACCGGGTAATTGTGGCACGAATTCCATCATTGTTGTTGTCAAGTTGCATGCAAAAATGATCACGGAATCCACTCAACAACTCAACAAAACAAAAGAATGAGTCAGCTTCAGCAGCGGCCTGCAAGAGTTTAATACGGAAATGTATGCATCAGTTTTGGAGCATATAAAAATGTCTGGCTTGTATGCATCAGTTTGTTACTCAAGACTCAAATATGATGTCATGTCACATGCGAATATGTATCTGAAATGGGTGTGTTAAATTAAAAAAAAATCAAGTAGTATTTGGATACACCTTGTAGGGTGATATCTCCTAAGTTCAAACCCATGTCTCTATATGCGTTAAGTATAGGTGTTTTAAGAAGAATAAAGAGTTTAAGCAAGTGTCAACTAAGTAAATGAAAATTTTCTTCATCATGTTGCTTGAGTCAAGAAAAAAGTGGGAGTTGGTGGCAATAGTGTTGCAGATAGAAATGGGCAAAGACAGGTTTGACAAGAACCCTAAACGATAAACAAAATGTAAATCTCAAAGCTGAAAAAAGTGGAAGGTTCCGGAAGCAGAAAACACTTTTTTTGTTGCACCAACAAGTTTTGCGTGAAGAAAAACATTAAAACAAATAATACATACTAGATAGGAAAGACAATGAGATCTTTACCACCATTTCTTAATCGAGATCATTTCTGAATACGTAAAATAGAGGTGCCAAGATTTCATTCATCCCTTGAACATATCTTATACATGGATTTAACTTGGCAAATACAATTAGTATGTCCTTCTATGCATCCTGAATGAGCAAGGTATAAGTCAGAAATGACTTTGTTTCTCATATCAAAACTTGAGTCCAAAGGGTTAAACAACAAAATCACAAGAAAAAAATGCATACCCGGTTAGACTTTGCAAGCTGCGAGTTTCTGGAAAAGAAGTTCATGTCTGGATGAGTGCGTTTCACATCTCGGTTAATCTGTTCTATAATTTCGAGTCCTTGAAATACTACCAGCCCAAAAAAAGTCACTTAATCTTTATCTAGAACTTAAAAGGAGGACATTTCAAAAAAATTCGGCTCATCAACAACATGACTAACATCGCAAGAAAACTAAGAAAACAAATGGGGAAAAAAACCTCTTCCTAAATGCTTGCTAAATCAGGAAAACTTTAAGGACTAGAGAATAAAATAAATGACATATTCAATTAATAATTGAAAAATCATAACTCTCCGTCACTACTTTCATGTATAAACTGGTATACAAATACAGTTGTAAACTAGTAATGCTCAGTTCATGTTCTCTCAACTAAGTATTGACCAAAAACTAGTATGTGTAGCATGAATTGTTTTCCCCTCGTCCAACTTCTTGGATTTCTTAATATAATGCTATATAATACTGACAATTATAAATACCAAATACTAGGATCTAATAATAACAGAGATAATCAGATAACACATTATAAAACATATGATTATTCTTAGTAAATTAAAGCTAAAGATAATATATGTGATAAATATTTTAATGCTAACAACAACACAATTATGCAAGAAACTATTCAATCTTTGAATTATAATTCAGTAGATTTTACATCAAAGTGTAATACCCCTTCAATGTTTTTTCACTTCTGTCCATTTAGTTATTATCCTTCTTTCTTTCTTCTATCCTTAACGTCAACTAAACACTAGAAGTCAGGCTCCAACAAAAACAAATGAACTAAATTAATGGGAGGAAGCTCAACTTAGAGTTCACAGTCTTTATTTAAAGCATTTAACATAAAAGAAAACACCACAGATGCAGTACAGTTAAATGCTTAGCTTTTTAGCACTTAATTTTTCACTTTATCGAACTGCACCTAATATAACAATAAAATTCAGTGCAAAAACTTAAATTCAATAAAGTTTACAAGTTATCTTTTGCGTAACAATTTACATTAAAAAGACAGGAATGAAGAGTAGCACAGAAAAATCCAATAAGAAGCCAAAAAATAAACTTACACACTAAGCCAACTTACGAATGCAAGATATTGCAGTCTCTGAGCATGAACCGGTATCTCATTAGCTATATCATGATGTATAATTGGGAAAATTGGCGGCCAATTTTTATCATCTGTGGAAACACCAACTGATATACCAAAAAAAGGAGCATTTAGCACTCTATAAAACCACTTGAGAAGAAAGTAAAGGTAAACAGTTGCTTGTGCTCCAGTTCTCTTACATTGGGAAACAACATCTTCCCTTCGTTTTATATCCTGAAAATAAAAATGACAAAATAGAGAAATACAAGTTAAATAAAAATTCAAATCATAAGAACAATTAAATCAGAGAACGATAAAGGAGGCATCACATGATATAATCAAGTGAACAAGCCTTTACTTAAGGGAAAAGGAAAGCAAGTCATTTATTCTTCTAAACAAGCTCCAAGTTAAAAATAACCTTTTCCCTCCTCTTAAGATCAGCATTCCAAGCAGCAAGCTCCTTTTCTCTTTTCTTGGAATCCTGTCAATATCAATATCAATAAACTAAAGTAATTAGCCATCCCTTGAGTGTTCATCTTAAAGAAATGTAAAGGAAACAGAAACTTCATTACATCCATTGTATCTAGAGGTATATCTACAATAGTATCATGTTTCTGTCCAAAACCAAGAGGTTAAGATGCCAGTGGTCTTGTAGGAGAAACAACACCACCATTCTGCAATGACTCTAAAATAAGTAACAATAAATAACACCAGTCTAATATATTTAAATCTAATGCACACCTAAAAAACTAAACACAACCAAGTATGACAAGAGCAACATTCATACCAAGAGACATGAACCATGCTAAATAAAGCATTAATTGTCCAAATCACAACACTTAACATGGCATAAACTATAAACATGGCTAGAGTGTACCAAGGTTATTATATAGATGTTCTCACGGTTAATAATGAAGAAATAGACTCACATTCAGCTTATATTGAACTTATATGGTCCATAAATTTCCAAATCATATAACCAATTTATAACCTACAGTCAATATATGAAAAATAAGTATTAACATTTTAATATATATTACATTTTAAGGTTCAAAAATGAAATCCATCTAAAAAAACTACAAACTGAAAGTCTCAGTTGCCAAATCCTAAGTTTTTCATTAATTACAACAAAATGAAAACAAATCCACAAGCAGAAGCCCTTTCATCACCAAAATGTTAGTGAGCATTGTTCTTAGATCCAGTATTCTCGAAACATTATTCCCAAACCACCCTCGAAAGTCAAGAAACCGACTACCGCACACTTAAAATAGAAAGAATCCAGATCTGAAATGGACAAAAGACGAAAACTAGAAAATGAAAAGAGGAATGGAGTACCGAAAATAGATTGACTTCTTCTTCATTGAAAGGGTTTGGATTGTGGTGGCGATTCATACTCTCTCTGTTTAAGATCCAAAATTTTCTCCAAAGTTAGGCCGAGTTTTGTTCAGACTTGAGTGAGAGAGACATATGCGTGCGTGAACTGATCATAATTTATTTGTATGTTATCCATGTTGAACCTTTTTTCAATCTTTTTCTTCTCACCATCTAGGAGTGAAAAAGAGAGAAGGGGAAGCATATGCATGCGTTAATTGATTATCGAGGAGGCCAGGACTAGAAGCGGGAAAGGATGAAAATAATAGGGGGAAAATTAAAAGACGACTTTTATAGATGACGCACAATTAAAAGTGTACTATGTGTTTTGATAATTTTTTTGGATTATGATTATTAAATATGACACATATTATTGTAAGTCATAAATCGTTCAGATTTTAAAAAACATGACATTTTTTTATGACACACATTTTTTGCAAGTCATAAATTAGAGTGTGTCATTGTTCATGTGTCATTAAAGGTATATTTTCTTGTAGTGTAAAAAATTGGATTGAATCCCAAAAAATCGTGATTTTATCTATAGAATCCTAGGGATATCATTCCTCTAGAAAAAATGAGCCTACGATTATCACAAAAAATGACCATAAATTGGGCATGAAAGGAGAAAAATAAGGGGAGGAATTCGAAAAAAAGAGGGGGATTCTAACCAAAGAGAAAAATCGAAAAAGAAACCAACATCATCAAAGCCAGTAAAAAACCAAAAACGAAAAAATGGAGGATCTTACCTTCAGATCTTCGACAACGGTTGTTCTGATGGTCGGACGACAAATCTGAATGGTGAAAAGGCATGTGGCGGTGAGGAGATCAACATAACTCGGCAGTGGCTCCATCGGACGGTAGATTTAGCAGTGACGGGAGGTAGACTCTTAGACTTTCATTTTTAGGTCTACGCCTTTAGAGTTGATTTCAGGTAAAAGCAAGTTAGGTTTTGGGTTTTTGAGAGTAAGGGGCCGTTTTGGGCTATTTGTTTCGACCCTCAACTAACAAGGGCGGTTGTTACTATCGTCGGTGATGGGTGGCGATTCGAAGTTTGGGAGAGAGTTTAGAACTCTCTACTTTTTTTGTGAACGATAGCATGGATGAGTGAAATGGTGTTAGGGTTAAACTTATCCTCTAAAAGTAGATTATATGTATGCTCCAAAACACCGTTGTTTAAGGGTGAAGAGGTCTTAATCTTCTTTTAGGGGGATAATAGCACTTTAGGTCCTTTTCATTTGAAATAACTCTGTTTTAGCCATCGAATGAAGCTTTGATCTTTTCAGTTTGAGTTCATTATTTATATTATGTTATATTTTAGTCTTTATATGTTTGTTTTATATTTTTTTGTATATTTGACTTTTTAACTGTTGATTTCGCATAGTATTCACTTTGGTCCTTCATATGTACCAAAATATAGAATTGTGTAATTTATTCTTTAAGCCCTATGTTTAGTCTTGTATTCATGTCAGTCATTATCTTTGATTTAGTGTTTAAAGTTTGGGGTTTATTATCTGTTTAATCCTTGACATGATGTGGTTTTTGGTCATTTTCATTTTTACCATATGTATAGATATATTTATGTATATGTATTTTTTATATATCATTATTCATCTATTTATGTACATTTTATGTACGAATTGTTTTATATCTTAAATGATTGTATTAATATTTTCTTATATATATTAGATGTAAAGGCTACAATATATTACAATATGTATATATTTAGTTAATGTTTTATGACTTATGTATTTTTGTATATATTTTGTTTTTTAGAATCAATATTATGAAGGATTGCAAAATGCTCATTTTACTCTTTAATATTTTAATGTATCTTACTCGTATGCTTTCAAGAACACTCGTCGTAGATTGGGGGTGAAAAGCGCCACCTTATAGAGGTAATACAATTCGATACAATATTGAACGAAAGGTGAAGTTGAAATAAATGGAGCGTTTTTTATTTATCTATTAAAATGATAGTAATATTTTAGTTAGCCCATTTTATTTTAATTTAAGTATTGACAATTTATGTTTTTGTTTTGGAAAAAATAATAAATTATTTCATTTAAATTTTGATATTAATTTCTAAAAAAATTAATATTTTAAATAATTCAAGGAGAGAATATTCTTTTACAGATAAGAAGTAGATGGGATAGCTTTCCCGATGGAGGATTGCAAATCTTGAGATTTCTTTTTCAAGTCAAAGAATTTTCCTTAATAATTAATTCGGAACAAATTATTCAATGTCCAATAAAAGGGTCGTACCTTAAATATTGATTCAAATTTATAATGCCCACCATTTACGACAATGTGTAAGTGGCTAAGTACCAATTTTTGGGCTTTGTGGGGGTGTTAACCCTTCCCCACATGTAATCGACTCCTGAACCTAAAATGAATCTTTTACAATCGCAGAACAGTTTTATATCTTAAAAATGATTTTTCTTAAAATTATTTAAAAGACGTTTTTAGGTGTTCGACCTACCTAACCTAATTGTTAATGGCGACTCCAAATCAATTTTATCAAATAAACACAAAAAATCATTTTTTTAAATATGTCGTAATTTAGGGTTCTCATAAAAAAATTATTCATTCGTCTAAAAAGATGTTACGATAGCTTGGCGACTCCACTGGAGACTTTAGAGAGTCAGACTGTAAGTCGCTTATACATTTTCATAATGGTGGAAGTTACGAGTTCGAGTCTATAGTTAGCTTATGATCATTTTATTGAATTTTGCATTTTTTTCTTTTTATAAATTGTCGTACTAATGTTTTAATTCTCTTGTAAGAATTTATTCTTCGTATGAGTCTTAGCAAATAACCTCTGGGGTACACATGCCTTATACCTTTGTAGGAATTTATTCCTCGTATGAGTATAAGGAAGTGAATCCCCTCGAATTGAACTCGATCCGTTTAAGCCTATAATAGGTGAGGATTGAGGGCTTGGCAGCCCAAGGGGCACCAACAACAAGGACAATTCAAGTACCTTTCCCTGTTAGAGTCGAAACCATACATATAGTGAACCATAGAATGGTCACCCTAGGTAGATCCATACAGAACATCTGTCTGTTAGTAGGTACTGAAATAAGTGTACACAAAGGAGGAACAATTCTAAACCTTTACATCTTGTTTTAAATTCATATAATAGATTTCTTTTTGAATGAAAGCATGCGAACTAGATACTATTTGGTTAGGATCAATTTCTTGAAAATAAAGCATGTCGGGTAGAAAGCATGTCTGGGTAGGATTGCTATTTAATAAAATCATGCTCAGGTAGATACCATGATGGGGTAGGTGTTATATTCATCTCTGAATAACACTTTTATCTGTATCAATTATCTTACTTGTACTAACTCATTTTTTTCTAATTTTTTGTGTCAATTTTTAACTTTTTTACATTGCATCATCATAACATAACGCGAAAATGTTGATCCGCAAAAGAATATTTAAGTGAAAAATTTCATAAGTAGAGAAAAAAAGTTTTCAGTCAAGTAGCCGCATACACAGACATGCACTGATTGCTAATAAGCAAGAAAATCGCTTGAAGATTGTGCACTAAAGTTAACTAATAGAACAATCTCGAAGACTCAAAAGGTGAATCCTTGATCCGATAAAGTAAGGTAATGGTAGAGATTTAAGTTTTTCCCTTTCCTGAGGATGCATTTATAATCTATTTTGAGAAACTAATTTCTTCTTTCTCAAGATTGTTCATCTAAAAGCATTAATCTATTATTTCTTAAGGATGTTTTCCCCTAAAATTCTTATTTCATTTTTTCCCAAAGGCTATTTTCTCCTCTCACGAGGACATCATCTAATTCTCATTCCTCAAGATCATTTTCTCTTCTCATGAGGACAAATTCAAAAAGTCATTTTATTAAAATAAAAATCAAATCAAATACATGAAATAAACTTCATCTTGACATCCATAAAAACATTAAAGATAGTCATTCATAAATGCATCATTTTTTTATAAATCTTTCAAGAAAGAAAGTTTGGTGATAACTAGATGTCGTCAACATGAAAGAGTAATGTCGTTCACAGATTTGACATCTTGAAGTAAATGATCATATATATTAAAGGAAACTAGATCTC